AAATATATTATTTTAACTTCTTTGGCAGATATGCCACTTAACAATTACAAGCTTTCTAAATAAGATATAGATAATAATAAAAAAATTTAAAAAAAAGAAACGTTTTGGAAAAACTAGCAAGCAACAGATAATCCAATAAGAGTAAGTTTATTATATATATACACGCCCAAGATTTTAGCCCCTAACAAGTTATGAAAACAAAAATAAAAATAAAATGAAATACAAATCGTAAACGCAAGAGAAGTCTGCAAAAACGCAAGAGAGCAGGCCCCTCACTAAATGATGCATTTTTGAGTATATAACAAAACAACAAATTAATCATTTAAACCAACCCTCGCAACAATATTAAAAAAATAATAAAAAATAAATCCAAAGTTACCCAAAAGACACAATAATACACAATAAACCGCATAAGAAAAAAGTACTTTGTATAAACATACCTCAAGAACAAGCTCTACAACAAAACATCACTGTTACAGAGTAGAACAAAATTTGAAATCATACCAGGCCAGGCATGGAAATACAAATCCCTCCATAATCCCATTAGCCAATCAGTGCGAACTGAATGAAAAAAGTTGCACTGATTCTGCAAATTGAAATCGCTATAATATTTAAAATGCTTTCATCTTGGCGCCATCTATAATTTTTTTTAGAACTAAAATATAATTTGAAGGGGGGGCCGTTGAGGCCTTAAATTTTTTCCTGGTTCCATTTGAAAAGATTTTGACAAACTAATTTCACATCCTCTGGAATCAACATCAATTTATTTTTTTTAAATACAGACATGCTTTTTTTACCGTGTTATTGGAAAATTATAAACAATATCGGTGTTAGGATGCCCAAAGATGACAAAATCGCAAATAAAAAATCTAAAACGTAAGTTGAGGATGGCCGCTTGAAGACGAAACGTCGAATTTTAAATTTAGTAGCACCATCTAAAAAGTGACAATGATGAAGTGACATTTACTTTAAAATTACTTTTCAAATAAGTCCGGGAAAAAATAAGAACAATTTTACAAAATTTCGGTTTTTTCCGAATATCTACGGAAGTATTCGGAATCTTTCTAGTTTCAAAACGGCATTTTATTGGTCATAAAATTGCGCAAATTTACCATAATTTAATCGACCCCGTATCTCTTACGGTTGCCGAGATCCCAATGATGAGGCTCGAATTTGGGCCACCCTGTACATGCTATTTCAACTTTTAATACATAGTTTGATATTATTTTTTCAAGAAGCAGAAACTCTTATAAAGGATAACTTTTTTTCGTAAAATTGATAATAAAAAAGTTTCCCATGTGCTGCGAACTTAAGTGGATACACTGTATTTTATGAGAAAATTTCATGAATCAAAAATTTAAATTTTTTGTCAAAACACCAGTTCTCGCATTAGTTACTATGCAATAATTCACACTAATATAAATTATCACGTAATTCCAATCTGATTGGTTCAAATCAACAATCAAAACATGTTAGCAGTGTTGCCAGGCCTAAAACTTATATAGCATGAAATTTGAGTCATTAAAAACATGAGGAAACATGAGATTTTTAAAATAGCTGAAAACATGAGGGGCCATTAAAAAATAAATAAAAACAGTTGTTTAAAACTCGTGATCTTGCTTCATACCATCTTTGGTCAAAAAAAAAACAATCAAAATAAAACAAACTATCGACGAAAATACATTACATCACAAAAAAAAGGGAACCTATCTTAGTATAGAAGACAGAAGGAACATTTGTGTTTTCTTCAATGACAGCTACATTCTATTTGATTAAAAATTTTTAAGTAAATTTCTATACTTTTCCACTACATTGGTGCTGTATATAGTGGGGTTCTTCTTATTTATAAATGTGTTATCAATGTACCTACAGTTATTGGAGCCAATATATTGTTTCGTTTTTGAAATACCAGCTATTGTTCCTTGGGTTTAGGCGGTTTTTGGACTTTGTAAAAAAATCCTTTCACGTGTAGCATTTGAGTGTGGTTTGAACTACATAAATTTAGCATCACGGTGATCACCTCTTTTAAGTTTTGAAACTGATAACCAGAAATATTCGCGACAAAATGCAAAAAACCAACATTATTTAATATCAAACCATAAGATAAAAAATCATGAGATTTTAGCTTGGAAGCATGAGAGCATGAGATGGACAATTAAAACATGAGATCTCATGTAAAATCAAAAGGAATGGCAACGCTGCATGTTACTTTATTGTTGGTATGTCAGTTTTGACAGATGTATGAAATTTTCATCAAAAAAACGGTCACTAAAATCAAAAATCGACGTATCCGAGATTTTTTGAAAAAAAATCAACCTTGTATTTTTGATGGATTTTATTCCTAACCTTCACGTACTAACTGTATTTAACTATGCTATATGATATCCTCTTTCGTTTATTGAATTCTAGTAAAGTTATATTTGTTCGTTTTGAAATATATCATTATGAAATATATTCATCATAATTATTTACACAAACTGGCCTTGTAGTCCTCTCGCGTTGTGTAATTTTTACTTACCCCGGTGCGAAATTAAATCCGCCATCAGAGGCAGCACCTCGCTGCAGCCAAAATTTTTGAATTTCCGTGTTTGCAGGGCTTACAATTCGAGACGAGATCTCAAAAACTACTTTATATATTTAGTGAATCAAGAAGATTTGAAAAGATAATAAAATTTAGAACAATGCTCTTATTTCATTTTTTTAAAAAAAGCGATGGGTTTGGATGTACCAAGCGATAGAAATAATGCTTTTTTTTCGAGTATTTAGGTCGTGATATTTTCAATTTGCATTTTTTTTTTTCGAAAAACTAAAACAACAGCATTATTCTTTAGATTTTTATCTTTTATTATTTTCTAATCCGGTCAAAAAATATTACAAAATAAGTGAGTTCTCGTCTCGGGAAATTAACCCTTTTTCTCAATTTTTAACGGCTTGTTGTTGGCCTCTTAAGTCTAAAAACGCAGCTAAAAGTATAGGTAATAATATACGTGACAATTCGCTTAATCCTTATAATTGTCTTCAGGTAAAGAAATAAAGTTTTTGAATTGAAAATTTGAATTTGGTATTTAGGTATGAAAAAATGGAATACTTTAACATCCGAGGGATTTAAAGTAGCTTTCGGGCGTTAAAGTGCATTTTAGCGCACGGCCGGACATACAATATATTTCAACACTGAAAGCCAATCCATCTACACCGACTTTTCCAGGGTGGATCATCCAGATATTATTGAATGCTGAGGAATTTTCTGCCCACTATTGAGCTAGATGGAGAACTACTACAGAAATCGCCTCCAAGGTGTCCGAGTGAATAATTGGAAGTTTTCTGAGATGACGATCCCTTTTAGGGTTCTTACGTCGGATCTCTTGTTTTTTAACTTGTACATTGATAATGTTCCAGCTTCTTTCTAATTAAGTATTTATTGCTTTGCAGACGATGGCAATGTAGTCTCCTCACTCATACCACCCACAGGTCTTTCCGCACGTGAATTCCATCATCTTAGACTAACTCAAATATCGCAGATAAATAACGACCTGGAGATAATAGAGGATTGGGGTAACAAAAACCTTCTACAGTTCAACGCGCAGAAAACCCAAGCAGCTCTGTTTTCAAAAAAGACCAGCACCGGTGAGCCAAACATCATGCTATCTGGAAGTGCTGTCACATTACAGAGTCAGTTGAACATCTTGGGGGTTACAGCAGAGACCAACATGTCTTGGCACAGTCACGTGGCAGATATTGCTAAAAGGGCCTCCCAAAAGCTGGGGGTGCTATTTCGTACAAGACATCTGTACACACCAAGCCAATTGCTGACACTCTACAAAGCCCAGATTCGACCAACTATGGAGTACTGCTCACATATATGGAGTGCAGCACCCAAACATACCTTAATGCTTTTGAATACCGTGCAAAAACAAGCTATCAAGCTGATCAATGACCCCGCACTTACTCGTAACTTGGATGGTCTCGAACATCGCAGATCTGTGGGCGATTTATCTCTCTTCTACAGGTACTATCACGGAAAATGCTCTGAAGAGTTGGCACGTATGATTCCACCGAGAGTAGCACCTACCAGGCGAACCCGTCAAACAGACGGTAACCATGAATTTACTGTCAAACTAGAGGCACCAAGAACCTCATTATATCAGAATTCATATCTCTGGAGAACAGCATCGCTGTGGAATAAACTCCCTGCGACGGTTTTCCCTGCAGGTTACAACCTGAACCGTTTCAAGACCAACATACACCGACATTTCCGCGCACTTGCCGCTTCTCGAGCGTGATAGGACATTTCCTTGCGAGTGCGCATATCCGTAAAAAAAAAAAAGTAAATTCTTGCTTCTAACTGACAACATCAAGATGTTTGTCGGGATCAATACGTCAGTCTGGGATTCTTTGGATCTTCAGGTTGATCCAAACATTTTTGCCTCCCGGTGTAGTAGGGACGGCATGTCTCTAAGTATCTCAAATAGTAAATTTATTTAGGTGTTAAGATTGCAATACTCTCGGAACCTTCATTACATGTTGGATGGCCTCTTCCAGTGGTCGGTACATTGAGAGACGTTAGTATTACGGTATTACCTATGACTCATATCTTTTCTTGGCTCTCATATTTCTTGTACTATTAGAAAATCATTGAAAATCCTTGGGTACATCAAGCGTCGTACTGGCTGGCTTTTTAGCTTGCACTCGCTCAAAATACTTTGCTGCACTCTGGTGAGGACCCATCTTGAATATGCGTCTTGTGTATGGAACGCTCATTGTACTACCACGTAAAAATAGAGTCAAGCAAGTACACGGGAGGTTTCCTAAGCATTTCAACAACATTGTCCTCACTTGCTGTCTTGTGCTGGACTACACGTTCTGCCAGAATCACTCGTTTCTCTCATACATAAAATCAACTTTACAATAAAACTAACTATATGCATGTCATTCATATTCCCAGGTTGTTAAGACCTGACCTTTTGGTATAGGTGGGTTTTTTTTAGTAAAGAAATAAAAAGTATCTTAATAATAATATTTTAATTTTAAATTCCAGTTACATTTCTAATAAATTCACGGTAAGCTGGTGTAGTCAAACGACTGTAAGTTCCGGGAGTGATGCCGCACGGCTTAAAAGACCAAGAAACCACGCCATATTGAAGTCCATCGATAACAAAGGGACTTCCAGAATCACCCTAAAAAAAAGCAATAAATCAATAAATTACTTTGGCTTAATGAAATAAATTGATTCTTACAAGACATTCTCCGTTCCAGTAATCATCACTACACAAATTATGAGTACTGTTAAAGATATCCTCACCAATATAGTCTCTAATTTTTTGACTGCATTCTGTATCGTTTAAAAGGTGCAAATTGATTTTTTGTAAAGTTTTCATATAATCCCCCCCGATGTCGTTTACACCCCATCCAGAAAGAGTACCATTTTGGTAGAAAGGTACCTGAGCACCACCATTAGCCAATTGGATTGGTTGGGCGTAGGCATCGAATGGAATGGCGTGTTCAAGCTAAAATCAGTTTTTTTTTTTTCGGTAATATACAGTCCGTGTCCCACGAGATTTTTCCCAAGTGATAACTTCGGACCGCATCATCGTATGTTTCACTGTATAATTTTTTATAATTTTCTTCAACAATTTCCTTGACAAATATGGCATTGCCGATTTTGTAATTTAATTTTCTAACGAAAAATGCCATAATATACCTACCATGAGTTACATTCGAGATTCGAAAGTTGACGTCACTTGCCCGAAATTGGAGCGAAAGTGGTGAAATTGGATGACAATGGTAGAAGAGAAGCGGCACAAAAAGTTACTCAGATCCTCTAAATTTCAATTATATTGGATGACGCCTTCCGAAGTTATTACCTGGGAAAACGTCGTGGGACACTCTGTATTTCTCTTGCTATGACCGTGCCTAAAATTATCATCAGAAATTTTCCTCTCTTCTCCCGTACATATTATTGCGTTCGTCAGAATAGTTATGTTGTAAAAACATCATAACTGAACGGTTGTAGATAAAATTTATTTATCTACAAGCGTTTGGTTATGACGTTTTTACATAACCATTTTTATAAATTAGAGTTATGTTATGAGACTCCATAACACAAATAGTGATGTTATGGACTATATGAATCTATAACACAACTTGTTTTTTTCATTAGACAAATTAGGCCGGCAGGCAAGTAATAAATAAAGGGGGTAGCTGGAAAGTATTCTGAAGTTAATGATATTTTGGCATGTCGTTTGTGGATAGTCTGTGGAGTGGAATCTATGTTTCCGACCTTGAGGACCCTGTGCTAGCATGGAGGGAAATCGAAAGACCTAGAAATTTTCGAACTTTTTCAGTTTGTTGCTTATAACTTCAAAACCATGCGTTTTTAGCCGAATACACCTATCTATAAAGTTGAAGAAACCTATTTTTTTTTTCTTTAGCTCAAAAGTGTCCTTCAACGCAGTAGTAACCAAAATACAGGGCCGAGTTCAGAAATAACGCACAGGGCGCGAGTGCGATTTTATGGGTGTGCCTGAATTGACAATTGGGCCCATAGCACCGTCCAGCACTTTTGAACAGCTAGGGCGTCGCGCCGGTGTCACACTCACATTGGGTGTGTCATTCTTGAACTCGCCCCAGTGGTTCAAAGATACAAAAAAAAACATTCAATTTGTCAAAAATGTCTTCCCGTCCGAACATTAATTCTGGGGATAAACATATTTTATCCACGTTTCTTTCACGTCACTCACAGCTATTGTGCCCCTGAATTATTCTTTTATTGTATCCTATTTTAATAATAATTTTTGAAAAAAAAAACCTTTTTTTATTTTGATTTTGATGTTATTCGCGCTGAATTTTTCCTGTCCTGTCTTGTCCTGGAACTAGTAGAATATGATATTGACTATACAGACAGGACCAGGCTACATATAGGCACATAGACACATATAGGCTTCAATGAGACCAGTTTACTGATACCCTGATACCCACGTTACTGCATGGTAAGCTGCATGCTATTATTCATATGTATAAAATTCGTGCAGCTCGGCTGAACTTGGCTGTATAGGCTCAAGCCTACTAAAGGAACGCTGAGTCAAATTATCAAGCAGGGGCCTTGAAATTTTGAAAATTCTATTTCTGCAGTAAAATCAATCTCAAACGCATTCAAATCTTCTGGATTTTTATTTGCAAAGCCTGTAGCTTTTTTTAATAATCTAGAGTCGTTTCCTGGATAGCCCGACAACTGAGAAAACCAAAATCAGCTGTCACAGTATTAGGAGTCACAAATGTTCTCTCAATCTGTGTTACAATAATTCTATGAATGACTTGGAAGAATTCAATTTCCAAATGTATTTTGGAATCGAAAAGATGATGATGAATATAAAATGCAAAAATCGCTATTTAAAGTTTGGTGTGTTGCGCAAAAAGCTCTTTATGCTTACGATAACTGACAAATTGCGCCCTTCTGGATCTTGCGCCCATGGCAAATGCCACGTTCGCCACGTCCTAGTTACGGCACTGCCTACAAGTGTCCCCCGGCGTTCAGGTACCATCGTCACCAAAAGTATCTGGGACACAAATTAATGCATAATAATCTCCTGGACTAATTCTACTGTCATTCATTTCAATGCATTTATTGCATAGTTTGGCAAACATTTGACAATAAAATTTATATAATAGGACAAGAGCTAATGTGATGCTGTCCCAGTTACTTTTGGTGACGATGGTACATCATTATCATTCAATTTCAACAGCGAATGCTTCTTATGCGATGATAAGGTTACTGCGGAGTACAGACAAAAACAAATGAAGTTACCCCAGAAAAGACGCAATCCCAAGTGACGCTTCCAGAGGTAGCAAACACGATTTTGCCATACGCAAGACAGCGAGGAGATGAATGAAGACGGTATAAGCCTCCCAAGTAGCATTTTGACGACGATAACCACATAATACACCAAAATTAACGTTGTACTTAGTGTAGAGTTTAGGCATTTAAGAAACGACGCTCTCTAAACCACTGGACAACGTCGTCTTAGTGTTGCGCAGGACTCTAGTTAAACTACGACGTTGTGACTACGTTTACGCAACCGACTACAATAAGTTAATATTTTGAGAATGGGAATAACGTTCTGACAACGTTCAGGTAACAACTTAAGTTATGTTAAACGTTTTCTCGACGGAGATCCGACCTTGTGAGATTTAACTAAGCAGTAGGAATGTTTTTCAGTTAAACTGAAAACGTTTCCGCGGAGTCATCTTTTCAACTAACCTCAAAATAAAAAAGTCGTTCGACCATCAGACCATCAAATTAAAAATGAAACAAGCCTTGAGCCTTCAGACAAACTGCCTCATATTGACAAAAAAAAATTATGTCATGAAGAAAATTCAGGGGCACAAGCCTACATGAAGGCAGACAGATCCGAGAACTTACGTTTAAATTCTTCAGGAACAAATGCCAACCCGAGGGCGCATCTGAATGAAGAAGTAATATTAGTAGGGAAAGCAACTAATTTTCCAGAGAGAGAACGAATAGTTGATGCAGGATAAATAACTCGTTCCAACCAAGGAAATAACTCAATAATGAAGAAGAGATCAATGTAGACTAGACTAGAGAAAGAAATAATAATAATACGGCAACTGAACTGCACGGAGAGGCACGTAGGCGTGATTGAAAATTGTGTATTTTGGAGTGTTCGTAAGTTAAACTCAGTTTAGTTTTTGGTCCGATAAGCAACTCCAGTGTCGCCTCAGGAAAAAGTTAGTTTTCTGGCAGACTAACGTTAAAAGTTAATATATTTTTTAGTTATCTTATATCTAAAGTAGCGTTGACGCCTATTATACTCCTACGCCATGTTGAAAGTGTATTCTGTTTGGAACCATGGTCCCGGCCATTGACATTTGGTGCATTAACAGGTGTAAATAAAGGATTGTATAGCTTTTTTTAGTTTTCTAGGAACCAATCATATGCCCCCGTTTAGTTCGCGTTTGAAGCGGTATCAACTTCAAATATTGGTTATCTATTTATTTTATTTTTTCAATTTTTATTTTTATTTTTGAGTTTTGAGAAATTTGCAACAGATTGGAGGCGCGCGTGTTTTTTTGGCATAAATCCATAATACATTTATCAGTAAAGTGATATGCGTTGCTGATTTCTGCTTGTATAACGTCTTTTTTCGGCAATATAAATAAAGTATTTGAAGCATAAGAATAACACATTAAGATACAGTAGTAAGTTTAAAGAAAATGTCCATTTTGACCATCAGTGAATATTTGGTTGAAAAATTTACCATTTCCTAAACACAACAAAAGTAAACTCTCATCGCCATGAGAAAGGGGGCAGGTGTGTAGTTGTTTATAAGTAAATTTAGCAACGTTTAGGAAACGATCAACTGCTACCTACAGTTGAAACTGAAACGTTTCAAAAACCCGGAAATGATTGACCAAATTGGTGCAAAACAAGGTTGTGACAACGTTGTAACAAGGTCGTTTACGCAATTCTGTTTGGTTGCGCAACTATTTCGAACACGTCGCCGCAACGTTAAATTGCTGCTTGGGCTGTTAATTAATATGGAAACAGGTTTAGTTGTGCTTAACGCGGAATACCACCAAAAGTGTATTCAAAATTTTTAAAAAGTACCTCCAGACGTGTCCACAAAAAGCCAGGACAACCTACTCCCAACATAGATCAAGCCATGGAAATTATATTAAATCAAATTGTGAAAACTGCAGGTGAAATTATTTCACAGGATATCCGATCTAAAATGTTTAACACTGAAGCTTACCCCCAATTGATAATTTTTATGGTGAATCTCATCATGTTGTTTCGTAGACACTGCTTCTTCTTCTTCATACTATCACTTTGACAAATGAACGTGGTTCACTGGAATCGAGGAAGAAAAACTGTCTTGCTCTGCCACATGCCATTATGCTAGCCGTCCAACCAAAATAATTCTAGTCACCCATTATGATTGGGGTTGCAACGTATGTTTACAAGAAGGATTTTCAGCTACCTTTGATGAAGCTTCTAGAGTTGAGGGTTCTTATGTGCTGCAAGCGCAGAAAGCCATAGTTGATGAGTCAGCCAATCCATTCAGCCAGTTCATTTTCCACAACGTCAACTTCAATGTAAACAAGCTAGACGGAAAAGGGACATTTCACGCCATGGGAGGAATAATGGCCGTCACCCCACGAAATGTTGTGACTAGTGAGACAAATGTAGTTCATGTTGGATAAACTGATATTCATATCAGTGAAACAAAAATTAATAAATTAAACTTTGATTATTAGCCTATACTTTGCTCATTTATATCGCAGCTATGGATGACTGAATGTGTTTATAATAGTTTTTATATGTAAGGTAAACAGATGAGGAATGGTTTACTTGAGAAAGGCTTTGTAATTCTTTGTCTTGATGTTGAGTCATAATTAACAAGTTCTTTTATTTCTTTTATTTCTTAGTCCATTTCCCAATAGGTTATGGGATCAGTGTACGTGTATTCACTGCGGTTGTGAAAACCGG